CTCTTGCCCCCATTTGGTGCCGGGGATTTATGTTGCTTTTTCGTCTTTCGAGGGTCGAAAATTCGGGTTCGTCGCCTGGTATTTCCACCTATCCGCAACTTGCTCTCTGCACTGTTCGTTGACTCCTCGGTATCGCTTTCCGCTGGGCCCTTCCCCTTTTTCGGGTCTCTGACAAGGGGCACTTCGTCGGACTCCTGTCCTTGAATTGTCGAAGGACTTGGGTCATGCGTTGAAGCATGCCCTCTACCTTGTCTTCCAAGACCGCGAACTGCTTTTAGAATGGCTCAGGGGTCGTTAATGCCTGCACCTCGGGCAACCCCTCCTGACGCTCTTGGTTTGGCTGGCTGGTCCCATCCTCGGGTCCTCCAACCTGGGGGTCGCCCAAGTTCAGCCTCCTCTTGGAAGAGCAGTCATCATCAGAGCGTCGTGGACTCCTCTCTGGTGTCATGTTGCTCAACTGGATGCTTTAAGTCGTTCCCACAGACGGCGGCAATTGTTGATGCGTGGATTTCGGTCCTCCGGTTCTCCTCCTCGCACCTACCAAACTTGTTGATCCGGGACTAGTACCTGCAAAACCAGATGAGCTAAACCGGTGCGACTCTAGTCACACGGGCTCCGATGCTTAAGTTAGCAAGAGGATAATGTGAAATGTAGCTAGTTTTTAGATGTCATTACCTCTAAGGCTGAATCGCTACTTATAGTCGTCAGGTTGTTCCAGAACATTCCATAGGTAGCTAACCCTAATTTCGTTGGCGGGCCTGGGCGAAACTGTGGATCGAAGACGAAGGGCCGTTGGAGGGCCGTGGGCCGTGCCACGGGTCGGGACCGAGCCCATCGTAGCCCAGTGGCTTCCTTCCGATCTTCACCTGTACCTCGACTTTCGGTTTCCATTGCATAACAGTTCGTGAGCTATTTAAAAAGAAAAAGTATAAGAACTAAATAGCTACATCAAAGTGCAGAGATCTTTATAATTTTTTTTTTAAATAAATGAACAAAATAGCCACAACTCTACAAGTTAGGACCAAACTTACAACTTAAATGAAAATATAAATCATATATGTTATGGTTATCAAGTGGAGAGCTGTGAAGGAAGGAGGGCCAAATCCACCTCTTAGTTTGTGAAGATTAAAAAACCTTTTTCTTTTTAAGTTAGGATTTTAAAGTTTTATATACTTTGCCTCATCAAAGACTTATTAATTGAACAAAATGTTAAGGGTTCATTTGGTAACATTCCTGTTTCTTGTTTCTTGTTTTTAATTTTCTTTAAAAAAATCTAAAAGCATCTTGCAACTAACTATATTTCTTGTTTCTTATTTTTTGGGAACATTTACAAAATTGTATAAAATTTTTGGAAACAACCAAAATAAGTTTCTTTTTTCTGGTTCACATTTCTCATTGCTCCAAAACATAAATAAGAATAGTATAATATCATACTTGAGTTCATGGATATCGCGATCATATAATTCATTTTTCTTTATTAAAAATAAAGAAATAGAAACAAGAAACAAGAACGTTACCAAACGGGACCTAAATGTATTGGGGGTAATTGAAAAATGCATTCTTTTAATATTTTCATGTGAATAAGCATAGGTTATCAGTAAAGCATCTACCTATTCTTTTGATCAAATCTCAAAAGAAGTACTTGAAACCAAAAGCAAAAATCTGAGGACTTATGTTCAAAGTGGACAATATTATATAATTGTGGAAGGTGAAAAGGGTCTATTATTCATATCAAAAACTTTTCGGAAAAAAATGTCGATTAATTAATGATTCAAAATCAAAGTTGTTAATGAAATAAAATCATCTCTAAATTTTACATTTCATTGTGAACATCAAGAACAAAGAATGACAATGGTTACTCCAAGCATCTCTAACAATGGTATGCAATATTTCCCTCTTTGGACATAACATCCTCGCTTTTGGTTTCACCTAAAATGCCTCGTACTAATAAAGATAATTGTCCTATCACTTGTATATGGTGGATCACCTTCTTCTTAGTTAATGTGAAACTTTGTTTGCACTCCTTATAACTCCAACAAGAGAACCCCTAACTGTCAATACCTAAAACCCCAAATCAATTCAGAATCAATCCCAAAGGAAGGGTTAGGGAAGGATTACATTAGTGATCAAAGACCATAGATAAGGAGAATTGATTCCCTGTTCAAGACTATGAACGCTCCATAAAATCAAGGTTAATCATAAATCTACTTGAACGTTGAAGCATGCAACTCTAAATCAAGAATTGCAAATGGGATGAACTCTCTGTCTCAAGCCAAGATTGCAAGAAAAATATTCATTTTGTGAAATAAATGTTTTTTTTCACATGATTAAAGCGCTAATCTTAAATCTATAGTATATATAAAAGGGGTTGTAGGGAGAAACTTTTTCTCCCTATTTTGCTTTTCTAATTTCAACATTCCCATAAATATTTTGAGGGCAATTTTGTCCTTCAAATATAAATTTTTCTCTAATTTTCTCTTTCTAATAAACTCCTCGTATAAAGAGTTAGAATATGGAGAGTTTTGTCTCTTTATTTCTATGTTAAAAAGTTATAACTTATTTTGAATTATAATTAATAAGGAATTTCAAAAGTTTCGTAATTTTCTACAACTATATATAGAGTTTTTTCTTGCTCTTTCCTCCAACTTTTTCTTCATCAAAACTTGAGTTTCTTTTCTTTTTCGGTGTGTTAATTTTCTCCTTTAGTCAATGTCTTGTGTTTTCTTATATTTAGTTAGATTGTTTGATCGAATATTCAACTTTTTTAGTTATTTTTTTTCCAAACGATTCAATCAACTGGGAAAAGGAAAGGGAAAATGAGTGATAAGATTGAGTTACCTTGGACGGATCCACTTTGGGATGACACTTGATAACCGCGATGACTCTCTCAATGACCTCCTCCTTCGTAAGGTGATCATCGTGTGATGAAAATAGCTGGAGCAATCCATCGGAATATGGCTGCAGTTGGCATTCCCGACGAGCTAGGGCAAGAAATTGGACCGGAACTCGAACATGGCAAAGAACGGGTGTCCTGAACGCATCTCTATCTCTCACTATTTTTTTTTTTTGTCATTTTATTTTTCAATGACTCAAATCAGAAATTGAAACAAAGTTTTATTTACTTTTATGTATCGTTATGTTTAGGGAAAAAAAGATGAAAAATCCATAAATACGTGTTTTTTATAGAAAGTTTTTTTAAGTAATTGAAGAATAATACTTTTAGTCACATTAACCCGCATTAGTGGGTGATGAGAATTATTGAGACGTTGTTTTATGAGATAAACATTGAAAATACAAAAAAACTTGGTGAGGTAAACCTTTAGAGTTAAAAAAAACCAAATTAGATTATAAATTTTATATTTTTAAACATTGAAATAAAAACTACGAAATTTCCCATGCACTGCACGTGTTTCTAGTGGAATATAAAAGACTATACTACTCCTAACTGAGGCGCGGCATAAGTAATTAAAAGAAATATCTAAAAATAAGAACTCTTTTTAAGGCCACATCATTGGCCAAAACATAAACATCTAAAATACGAAAATAACAAAATTGTAATAATAAATTTTTTTAACACAAAGTTCTGCCATCTCTTTCTTGTATCCTCATTTAGCACCATGTATAGAATTTCTTTCTGTCTTTACCCCTTGATCTTCGTTAGTTCAGCTCACTCTTGTTTAGATATGAGAGTCGTCAAGGCTAGTTGTAGTTGTTTAGCCCTCTAATAAGTGATAGGTCGTGGAGACAAAGGGCGTAGAACATCTTGGTTTATATGAGTTGAGAGAACATCATTGTAATCTTCTATGTTCACAGTCGAACTTGCAGTTGTAGAAGACTGGACGCAGTTTCAAGTTTGGGGCAAACCAATGAAACTCTAACGTTCAGAATAAGAATTTATATCCCTATATAATCGTCATGGGTGGCTCATTATATTGGTCTAAAGGAGCTAGGGTTAATTAAGAGGGAATGTATTCAAATCCATGATGGCCACCTACCTTAGGAATTAGTAATTCCTATGTGTTTTCCGGTGGTTGTCCATTAGTCGAAGTACGCATAAGCTGGCCCGGACACCCATGTATATATATATAAAAAAAAAAAAGAATTTATATCCCTATCTTGTGTATTTGTCCATCTTTTTGTAACAACCTTTTTAGTTTGTCTGTATTGACATAATTAACAATGCTTGGTATAGAGAAGCCATTGGTTTGGTCAAAACTAAAGGCACAAGCCATCCAAATCCAAGTTGTTTATTTGACTTCCCAAACCTATTTAGTTTCACCTAATTTCCTCAAATACCTGAACCATATTAATGGATCCCAAGTTTGGGGTACCCAATTTAAGGGCTTGTCCCACAACTTTGAGTTTAAAATAGCTTTCTCAATCAAACTAAAACTAAAAAAATTGTACATTGGTTCTTTTTACAACCAACTCAAGATTAATTCCTTAATAATTATGAAGGTGGCATTGTTGATGGTTTATTGTGTTTTAACAATAAGTTTCAGTTTTGAAATTGATTGGGTGGATGGAAGTGGAAGTGGATCCCCATTAGTGTCATGTTATTTCGTTTTTGGAGATTCTTTGGTTGACAATGGAAACAATAACAACAACAGGGGAGTTGCTCGAGCTGATTACAGGCCCTATGGAATTGACTTTTCCAAGCAAATGATGCCCACCGGAAGGTTCTCCAATGGCCGAAATATCGCAGATTTCATCGGTTCGCCTTTACTCTTTCTCTCGTTGCAACAACCTTTTTAATTTTCCTCGTTTGGTAACGTTTTCATTTCTTGTTTCTTGTTTTTTATTTTCTTATGAAATCTAAGATTTTTGCAATTAACGAACTATGAACTTGTTTCGTAACGTTTTCGTTTCTCGTTTCCAATTTTTTTAGAAATCTAAGTATTTTACAACTAATCATGTTCTTTAGAAACAACCAAGTTTCTTCTTTTTTGTTCTCATTTCCCAATTTGTTCCACGACATAAATAAAAATGTTGTTTTATCATATCTTGTTGGAGTTATGCAAATCATTTTTCTTTATTAAAAATGAAGGAACAAGAAACACGTTAAGTCCTACGTTTCTTGTTTCTGCGGAGAAATTTTGGAAACAACAAAAACAAGTTTCTTCATGTTCTCATTTCCAATTTGTTCCAAAACATAAAAAAGATTGTTTTATCATACTTGAATTCATGGATGTTGGAGTTTTGCCATTAATTTTTCTTTATAAAAAACAAAGAAACAGAAACGTTTGAACGAACGAAATAGTTATCAAACATTTATGTTTCTAAAATCTTCCAGTCTTTTTTTCTTTTTAGTACAACAACATGGCCACATGGGATGGCGATTTGAACCGACGATCATTTAATCGGAGATATAATGTTTTAACCAATTGAGCAATCATCCTAAGTAGTCTAAGGGGGAATAAGATGAATAATAATGATTTTTCCTTTTTCAGGTGAATTTTTGGGTTTTGAGAATTACATCCCACCATTTAAGAATACAACAGGTTGGGACATTCTCAAAGGCGTAAATTATGCATCTGGAGCTGCAGGAATTCGCAAGGAAAGTGGAAGAACACAGGTAATTAACTTACAATAATATAACTTTTCTACACATTAACAATTAATAAAGTAGGAGCTTTTTACCCTATATCTTGTGTAGTTCTCATGCTTCTAGTGTACTATTATTCATTGAAAAGGCTAAAATTGAGTTATTGAGGTCCGTTTGATAACCATTTTACTTTTTAAAATTAAGCTTAAATTACAACCACTTCTTCCATCTAGGCATTTCTTTATCTTGTTATCAACTTTTTAATATATATCGTCTAACATAAATTTTATATATATACCTGATCACACATCTTTTGTTCATTTACATGTTTATGATGAAATTTGCATGCACTTGCAGGGCGAAAGAACAAGCTTCGATGAACAATTGATACAGCATAATCATACCATTTCAAGAATCCATAACATATTGGGAAACAACAACAGCGCTACCATGGCACATCTTGAAAGATGCTTGTATGTGGTTAATATTGGAGGCAATGATTATCTTAACAATTATTTTATGCCACTTTCCTACAATACAAGTCTCCAATTTTCTCCACAACAATATGCCATTGCTCTAAACAAACAATTCTCCCACCAATTGAAGGTTAGGCCTTGTTGACTCATGTCTAACTTATCTACTAGGGAAGCATTTTCAAAAGTTAGCTATGTTTAATTAATATTTGTTTCTTGGTGATTTTAGATAACTAAAAGTATTTCTTTTTTTATGAACTCTATAGTGTTGGGTTATAAATGAAAAAAGCATATTTTACAAAAATAGGTTTGCTTTAAAAATCATTTCTAGACGAACACTCGACACTTTGTCATTTAAGCACTTGATCAATCAGAGATGATTGCATTTTGTTGTGCTTTAAATTAAAATGTTGAGTTTGTAAGAGAAATGCAAACACAGTCTCACATTGGTTAAGCAAGGGAACGATTCATGGTGTATAGATGAGGACAATTATCTTTATTGGTATGAGACTTTAATCAGAATACCTCATAATTAAACCAAAAGCAAAATTGTGAGGGTTTATGCCCAAAGTGGATAATATCATATAATCGTGAAGATACTTGGACGTATTTGGGGTATCGTTGTAAAAGACATGTCAAACTAAACTCACCCTAAAAGACAAATAAATAATTAGTAAACAAGTTTAACTTCTAAAACAAAACCGCTATCAAACAGAGTTTAAAATATTGCTATCTAAAAATGTGAAAATGGTTGCATAATATAGTCACATGTTGGTTTTTATAATTTTCGAATATATTGCAGACTCTGTATGGGCAGGGAGCTAGAAAGTTAGCCATTTTTGGAGCGGCATTGGCAGGATGTAGTCCATATGCAAGGGCTACCTTCGACCACAAAGACTCTCCATGTGTTGATCACATCAACAATGCCATTCAACTTTTTAATATTGGCCTCAAGTCGAGTATTAACGATCTTAATACCGACTTCACCGATGCCAAATTTATCTTCATCGACGTCTACAACATTGCGAGACACGATACTCCAAACCAAGGTAACATGTCTTATAATACTAATATGTGGGGTAGAATTCGAACCTTCAACCTTTTAATTAAAGAGTATGCTTTTAACACTTGAGCTATGGTCAAACTGTTTGTTTGTTTGTTTTTTTCCTTCTAAAGACTTGTTTTGTATATGAAAAAAATAGTTTAATGTTTTTAGAAAAATTTTGCTGGTAAAATAATATATATTTGGAAAGCTGTTTTTTTTAATGACCTTTTTTTCCCTAAGGAGAGATCCAACTTTTAGAATAAATAATTTTTTTTTGTAAGATTATTAATAGAGTTTACTCTAAATACATTAAGAGTGTATAATAATTGTCAACTCAAGTATAGTTTAATTGGTTAAGACATTATAATTAAAATTTCAAAAGATGGTTGTTCAAATTTCCACTCACACATCATTTAACCCTAAAAAAAAATTGTGTTAACAAATAATAAAATGCTTCTACTTTTAAAAATTGAAAATCATGGATCTGATCGATAACCATTTTATTTTTGGTTTTCAATTTTTGAAAATTAAGCTTACAACCACTATTTCTATTTGTGTGTTCCTTTTGTCTTATTATCAAAGGTAAGAAACATATTAAAGAAATAGCGAGAAAACAAGCATATATAGTTCTTTTAAAACGGAGAACTAAAAATGAAATCATTATTGAACCGACTTATATATTTTCTTCTTTTTGAAGCAATGTATTTTTCTTTTGAGTAATGAATATTATTCACTAAAAAATATAAATTTACAGGCAAAGTGAATACAATTACTCCTTGTTGTGAAGTTGGAGCTGATGGGCTGCAATGTGTTCCTCTTGGAAAAGTATGCAGCAATAGGAGTGAATATTTATTTTGGGATGGAGTTCATCCAACTGAGATTAGAATGAAGAATTTAGCGAGCAGAGCCTTTAATGCCCAACATTCTAATGATACTTACCCCTTTGATATTAATCATCTTGTTCAATTCCAGCCAACTTCTACTCTATAATAACACGGACCATATGCAAGTTTTGATTTAAGCTTCTTCGTAGGCTTATTAAACTTAGGCATTCCTAAGGTGTTAGGGCAGTGGAAAGAGGCCTGAATGTTGACACGCAAGATTCACTCATAGTCAGATATATTATATTAATATTCATGAGATTCCATCTCAAAACTAATTGACAATGAGAGAAGTAGTCCATGTCTATAATAAACGCTTGTTAGATCCCTTATCTTATCAATGTGAGATCTTTAACATATCAAATTATATATATATATATATATATATATAATACTTTTCCAATCAGATATATCAAACGAGGTATACCATTGTTTGGGCTCCGTATTTAGTAAAAGTATGTTGAACTTTGGCTTTCTTCTGCGTAGGCTGTGTTTCAAATTTTACTACTATTAATTTTTTCTTTTGCTACTTTTGCCCCTACATTTATCTTATTTTTGTGCGTAGTTCCATAATTAATTTTTTTTAGAAAAAGAGTTGTCTAGTAGTTCAACAATATGGTAGGAGAGTTGAACGTCTATATAATGTTTAACTAATTAACCTATGCTCAAGTTGACTAATAAGGTAGAATTTGTGTTCAAATGTATTTGTTTCTTTTTTTTAATACAACATTAGGGAGATGATTTGAACTCACAACCTTTTCGTTGGAGGTATATGCCAATTACCGTCGAATTATGCTCACTTTGACACTATCATTGAATTATTATACTTAGTTTTAGAAAAACTTACGTTTATGTATTTATGACTTACAACATTGAATTCTAATAATTTTCACAATTTCTATTTTTCTTGTCGAATATATTAATAAATTCCATTTCTCATTTAAGAATTTTTCTCTATGTTGTTTGTGATCTTTTTAAATGTAAAAAATTATCAAAAAAATATCCCAAAAAAATCTATATATACAACTCCTTTACATGTTTTTTTTCTTTCTTTCTATTTCTATTTTGGAGAGCGTGGAGATTTGAAACTCCAACTTTTATATCCTTGGCCTATTTTCTGAGTTAAAAACCTTATAAAAACTATTCATCTCCCAAACTAAGCATCAAAAGTCCAGTCTTGTAAACTTTATAATTTAAAAGGGAAGAGAAATTATGGGTGGAATTACTAAACACACACTCATAGAGAGAGGGGAAATAGATTGAAATTGGAAGTATTTATACAAGCATTTAACTCAAAAATACACAAATCACATTAAAAAGCTTAAGCAACTTCTTCAACCTCATCAAGTGCATAGTTGTTTGTTGATACACTTGCATAATTTACTTTGTTAAATCTAACCACAACTGGATATCGAGTGTTCGGGTCCTGCAAAATATTGTTTACACCTTAGACATTAGTACATACATTTTTTCCAAATTATTTTACAAAATAATTACCAATACCACCAAATTTGTTCCAACATAAACAATTTAAATGTTAGAGAGCTCATCTTGTGTTTAAATTTCTTTACGTCAACTTAAGAGTCAAATTAAACATCATACGCAAATATCAACTTAAACTTTTGAGTTGATGGTGGTTTATTCATCCTTAACTTGTTATTAGCGTGGAAGGTCTAACAGCAGTAGATAATCTACTGTTGTTTGATTCTATGAATCAAATTTTACTCGATACTAAAAACAGTAAAAATAATGATAGCGACTTGGTTTTGCGTGTGTGAAATCTCACTAATTGAAAGAATGAAAAAAAAAAAAAGAATTCATAAATGAATAAATTATCAAGTGTCTAACCTGATCAACTGTTACAACAGACCCAACATCTTTGTACCAGTAGGACTCTTTCCTTAGAATCTTCACCTGTTCAAATAAATGATAAGATTTCAAAGAGAATCAAACATCAACAATAACTTAACTTAATAAAAGGGCACAAAATAAATTACTCCTTCATTTGAGCTAATCATTTATTATTATTTTTATTTTTTTTTGGAAAAATTCAATTTCTACCAGTATCAATTTTCCTGTCAATTTCATCAACTCTAAACTTAGATAAATATCGTAACTTGCCATCTCTATTCAATTTTAACTAGATCTACGATTCATACCTTGGCACCTCTCTTGGGGCCAATTGGGGCAGGCTTAGGCTTAGCCTCCTCAACCGGGGCATCGGCGGTGGCGGCGGCAGCAGGCGGCGGGGGAGCGGCTTCATCGGCGGCGGCACGGATAACCAATCTTCTAGAAATGGGGTTGGGATTCTTGGGGAAGAAGGCCACAGAAGTTAACCTAGAAGAAGATGATATGGTGGCTGAAGAAGGGATCACAACTCCAGAAGCAATGCATGAAAGATTAGTGGCAGCCATGGCTAAAATCTCAGCTCCCCTTTTTTGCTCTCTAAAACCAAAACCAGCGCTTTAAGTTTTGGAGTTGGGGTTTGAATAATAAGATAAACCAAGGGAATAATCATAACCACACATTGAGGGAGGGGGAATCAATTGTTTTATGGGTAATAATTCTTTTGTGGAATTATCTCAGCCTATGGAAAAATTGGATGTTGGGTTTTGGGCCAATGGGATGCTGCCATGTAGGCACTATATCCATACTCTTGAGGATAGCCTCATCCTTATTCTCTCTCTCCTCTTCTCTCTCCCTCTTTCATTTTCTCTCTACTTTCTTGTAGTGAATGAGATTTTTAGGTAAAAGTCCAATTTCAATGCCTTTCTTTCTTTCTTCTTGGTTTATGTTTGTTTTTTTTTTTTGGATAATTTAGTTGGATATCCTTTTAAGTTTCTTTTAGAATTAGATATATTTTTTTTAATGTTGCAACTTTAAATTATTGGGTTAGCAAATTGAAAGAGCAATTCCAACTTCTAACTTTTTGGTCGAGGATATATCCCTCAACAAATTGAACTAGGTATAATTGTTTGACATAATATACATAAATAATAAACAATAATAATAAAAAAGAACCATTTTCTGTACAATGCTACTGCCTACTAGAGAAATGACTTGTAACTTGTAAGTAGACCCAAAGTCATTGATCTGAACTGGTGTTTTACACATTGCATTTCCAGGCCCATTGGCCCAATTTTACTCTCCATAGCCCATAGTGAAAAAGTTCCTTTCTTGGGCCTTGGTGTTCCTTTTGAATTTTTTTACATATATACCCTTTTTGTTTTTGTTGCCTAAGACATCAAAAGTGACCATACCATCCTAATGACTTTCAATAATAATCTTACTATAAAACATAAAAATATTTAATATTCAGCCAATGACCAAAATAGCCTTCAAGTTTCATCCATATTTCAATGTTCAAATCAATTCAAATTCACTAATCCGAGCATAGTTGAGTAGATAAGACACACATATTACCATTTCAAAGGACAATAGTTCGATATCTTACCCTTGCAATGGTTGAAAAAAAATCAACTCAAATATTATTCACTAATGATTACAATTTTTCAAATTACAGTTCTAAGTGATATGTGTACATATCAACAAATTTTCAAACTTATTATTATTATTATTCTGAAATTTGGTTGAAAATTGAAATTTATTTTTAAGAAAAAGGAAAAAAGAGACTAAAGAAAATAAATATAAAATATAAAATGGTTACCAAAACTTTAATTTATTATAAAAAATTATATATTATATTATATTTGGTTGAAGCAATTTTATAGATATAACATATCTTATAGATTTGGTAGACATGAAATCTTCTTCAAATTTTGGTGCTAAAAGGAAAATAAAGATGCATAACTTTCCTCATATAGTTGACCACTACTCCAAAGAAGTAGACTACTATTTTAATAATTTAGACTTTTTAGATATGTAATTATTTTTCTACAGGGATATAATAAATGTATATTTATTGGCCTTATAAAAGTTAGGGGTGAACATGAATTTTGGTTTCGGCTTTTCTGATCCCAGTTATAAATAGTTTAAGCTTATAAATTTAGTTAAATTGTTAAAACGAGCGTAGCTTAACGATAATTGACATCTACTGTTGTACTAAAAAAAACTCTAATTAAATTGATCTTTTGTTGTATTCTTTTGTTTGGGAGTAAGGAGAAGAGTGTGAGTGGTATAAGATTTTGAAGGAGCATTTTTGTAATTGAAGTCGGAAATTTCTCGAGAAAGTAGGAGGGCAATTGGGGTGGCAAAATGATGGGATGACATGACATACTAAAGTTGTAAAGTATTAAATGTAAAGTTGAAAAGGTACTCCTTAATGTTGTGTACATGTAAAGTTATAAAACAACTTCTCGACACATGTTAAGGACTACCTTTTTAATTCAACATTTAATATTTTACCACTTGTCATTCCACTAGTGTCACGTTAAAATTAAACTTGACGAAACGTATATGTCAAAGTGTTAAAATTAAACTCGACCAATGTTTTAAGTGTTTAGAAATAAACTCGTCGTTTTCTAAGTATAAGAAAATTTTAACATGACGCTTGCCTCTTGTCGAGCTTTAAGCCAACTTTATCTTTTTATGGTTTGTATAAAGCGTCAAGTGTGGTAGAGCTTGACATTTCTGTCAAGTAAGATTTTTTTTTTTGTTTTTTTTGTGTGTTTGATACTGATTAATAGTATAAGTTTTTTTTCTTATTTTATTATTTTTTTCATCCGTGAGTATCTAGGTCGTGAGTATCTAGGTCAGTTTGCTCGCACCTAGCTCACAGGGACAACTGTGTCATCCTACTATATTTGATTGCCAAAAAAATACATAGAAAATTAATTACTAGGCAGGTGACTAATCATAGAGTTTAAACTCATTTTCATTAAATCCTTAATTTTGATGAATTATCTTCACTCCCTTTGGATCAATGAACCATCTATTATGGTCAGTTAGTAGTACAAAGTTGCACCCCATGAAACACTTTATGATTTCATGTATGCGGAATAAATATAATATAGCTACATGCAATGATCCCAACTAATAGTAGTGGTATCCACGAGTCAGTAGTGTAGGATTGCACCAATCGAGATTGATTGGAGGGTAATTCCCACTATTTTTTTTCATGAAATTACGAGCTAAAAAGGTCGGATCACTACAACAAATCTGACCTTCAATGACAGTAAAAATTATGGAGGAAACAATAATGTACGGGAGAAAAACTATGCTAATTTTTTTTAATTATGTTTTCATAGAGAGAACATAATTTTTGGTGTGCTCAGCATAGAAACTAAATAATAGAATCAAAATTAAACTAAACATCATATCAGCATATCTAACCTAATTTTAGTCAAACCATATTCTTCTACTTTGAACCCAAAATAATCCTTACATCCACCTAAAATAAATGCAAAAAAAGAAAAAAGAGTTATAATGACTCAAAATATAATTAATTATGAGGAATTGAACAAAGGAAATCAACTACTTAGTATTGCTGTCATCAACTTGCAATAAAGAGAGGCATAATGGACCTAAATGTAAATTAAATTTGAGTTCAGATTTAATTTTGACCCACTTTTTATAACTAATCATTTGAAAAAGAATAATTAATTGTTCTTTTCTTTGAAATAAATTCAGCTTAATTACTTCATTTTCAAATTGCTACTAAGATTTAGTAAATAATTTTCTTATAGCTAATTTGAAAATTTATTAATGAACAACAATTTAATTTTTAAATTAAGCTTTAAATGCAAAATTTCGAAACATATGTATGGGGTGTTACATAAGTGGTGAGCCCTAGATTTTTTAATTTATCAATTATCTCTATAATTGTGCTTCAGCTATACAAAACAAACAATATGCTTTGTTCTAGATTACTCCTTGAAGGGAGACTTCTTGATGGTCTTTTGATGGAAATGTAGAGCTATCCATTATTTTAAGTAAATATCGATAAAATATTGATAAAATAACCTAGATGTCGATAGATATTTCTGGAAACATTAGAAAAACAAAAATTCATAACAAATATTTAAATGATCAAATAAATATTTCACCATTTTTAAATAAGTAAAAAGTGATTAATATTAATATTGTCCATATTAATTATCTTTTGTTGATATTTTTTCTTATATTTTCTCAATTTTTTTGGGATATACTATGAAAATGTTGATTCACTCCTCATGTTGGTGTCAAACTCATGGATAAATGAAAATGTTAACCGAGAACAATCTTCATTATTGTTTTTAGACTTTTTGGTAGAGCAAATAAAAAAAAATCATACGAGCTTAGTTTTAAAGTAAATAATATTATGCAAATATGGATCTACGGTAGAATCATTGTTCAAATAAATGTATTATCAATATTCGAGGAGTTTCATCTAAAAAAACAACTGACAATGAGAGGAGTAGCCAATATCTATTATGAACCCTTATTATGTCTCTTATCTTTTTAATGTAGGATCCTTAGCATGTAACACATAATAGCTCCAGGAAAAAGAGAATTATCTTTGGAGTAATTACATGTGATTTAGCACCTAAAGTAAGTTATAATGATCATAATCTATTCCTTATGAAAAAATATCGTTGGGTACAAAATGTAGGCCTAAGGTAACAAAAAAAAAACACTATTCCTTATGATATTGTCCATTTTATGCACGACTCCTTGTAACTTTACTTTTGGTTTTATAGAAAAACGCTTCATACCATAATGAAAATAATTGTCTTTATTTATATACCATGGTCACCCCATTCTCAACTCGACTATAGATCCAATACATCTCGATAAAATAAAATAAAATAAAAAAAGAAAGAATTAGAATACCAATCATAGGATACTATATTTTGTTCAATATTCGGAGGCAGCTACCGGTGATGATCTTTTGTAGTAGTTTTCATTTATATTTCTTTTGAATTCTAAATTTTGAGTTGAATTCTATTAAGCTCTTGTTGTCGGCTTTATAATGTTATCTATTTTGGTTATTGTAATTAAAGCTACGAAATGATATTTTTTCCTCTTTCTTTTATTATGCAGCTGGAAATTTATGATGAATTGACTCTTCTCAAAATGTTGTTGAGCAATATAAAGTAGTGTTATCTCCCTAGTTTGTTAATACTTATAAGGTTATAATATTAAATTAATTAATATACTTTCAATATTTATTCATTCTATTTTTGTACTTTCAATTATTATCTATTTTAGTCATCGTACTGTCGAATAGTTCGTTTGTGATTGTTTTGGTTTCTTCATTTTATTTTTATCTCATTTTTATGATCATAATTTCAACATGACACTATACACTCTATATAACTCATTAAATCGACCAATTACAAACATGGGAAATAAAAAGGCAATATTTGTTGTGGGGTAATACATATTGTTCCCATAGCATAGTACTGATTCAGTTGAGAAAATAAAGAGCCGGAAAATGTAGGAGTGGAGTAATTATTTGAAATGGTGGGGCATTATTGGGAAATTGATTAATTATGGGGTCAATTTCAATGGGGTGAGGTATTTGGCATTAAACTGTTAGTTGGGTTCATTCATCCAAACTGCCCTTAACAGCTTTTGATTGTGAGATGTG